CCGCAGCCGGGCGAGCTCCCGCCGGTGTGCAGGGCCTTGAGGGGGCTGCGGTGGCTCGGTGGAGGGGAGCAGCTTTTGGCCTTGGCTTTGTGCCGGTTGGCCTTGCAAAAGGACAGGCCGGGCATGTTTGGTTCCATGGAGTTTGAAAAGATAGTTTAAAAATGTTGTCAAAATACTTCACTCTTCTGTTTGTCTTTTTTTTTTTAAAATTACTTTTTCTTTTACAAATTTATACACGTGCAACCGATGTGCTTTGGCAACAATTTCGATTTAGTGAGGCAAACATCTGAAAAGCACAAACATACAGATCAATGGGCAAGTAAAAATGATGGACGGCTTCACAGAGCTTCAGATCGTAAAGGCAGGTCGAAGTCTGTGGCCTAAAAAAATCTCTCTGAGTTTATTTAAAGTATCCCATACATGAGATTTGGCAAAACTAATGTGTTTCTGCCAACAGCCATGAGTTTCTAAATGGTTTGGAATAATGATTCATATGAAAACTTTATTTAAAAATAACAGTTTCCGGCTTCTATAAAATCTTCAGCAGTGTTAAACAATTTTTAAAATTTATTGTCTATCATCAGATATGGAGGCAGGTAGGAGTCTACTTGAACTCAAGTTTGTGGAAACTGAAAAATAAGTTTTCACTTTGGAGTTGTTTACCATGTATATTCTTAGTGGAGGATGATGGTGGTAATGCCAGAAATTAGTTTCCTTGGATGCAAAACATTCATTTGCACAGTTTCTGACACTTCTTTATTAAAAAAACAAACAAACAAACAAAAAAAAAAACCCTGGCAATTCTGTACTTCAAATCAATCTTGTGATTGATCTATTGTTTTCAGTGGTGTAGCTGAGGGAGGGAGTTTTTTGGTTGAGTGATACATTTGTAGAAGAAAGGAGATTGAACTACCAGTTAACCATTTCACATTACGGTATTTTTGCCATACATCAAAATTCTTTTTGCAGCGAAGCCAAGAATCATTATCTTTGGCTTAGTGATAGCAAAACTATGTTGCTAAAAATACCTAAAATGGTTTCAGGTCTTACTCTAGAATGTGTGAAGTTCAGGGAAAACCAGGTAGTGTCACAGTGCTCAAATCCAAATCTGATTCATAGTTCTGTGTTTTCACTGTTGTACTTGGCTCATAGGCCATGAAAATGCTCCTCTGTTGGATTCTGCTATAAATCAGCCTTAGCTAATGAAGTTATAATTCTGACTCAGTTGTCCTTCAGTTGATTCTGTAATGACATACATTAATACATTAGTTGTTTGCAATTTGTGTCCCTGTGTTGACTTAAAATTACTCGAAAGAGCTTTATGCATATTTCTGTAGTTCACTATTGTGGTAACAGTCTTCAAATATATGAAAGGTTGCTGAAAAAAGAACTAGAATAATAATCTGTGCTGGGATCGGGAAGCAGTAGTTGGCAGAAACTGCAGCAAAAGGACTTCAGGCCTTGGGAAAACTATTCCACGTCTCACTTGTGCCTGCTTTTAGAGATTGCTTTAGCAAGGTTGGTGTTTCTGTCCCTGGAGATTACGGGTTGTCAGCAATGATTTAGCTGTAGATTATCTTGTTTTGGGACAGAAGAAATAGACACAGTCTCTTCAGGTTACTACCAGCTGGTTTGTTCTACTATTAATCTGCACCTGTAAGTGAAATAGTGCCCTGGTTCATGTTTTTCTCTCTTTAAATGAACCAAGGAGACTGAAGTATTCTGATACAGTCACACGATGACAAAGGCCAATTTATGAAGGCCTGGTTCAGGACAAGTACCAATGGCAACTTTTAAGCCAGGCTACAAATGAAGACATGAACTAGGGAGAAATGAAAGTTTAGCTTTGCCGTGGTTTTATCTTTGGCTTAAAAAAAAAAAAAAAGTGAACACAGAAAAACAGTAAACTGAATAAGAATGGTAGAACCTAAGGAACCTTCAGTATACGATATTAGCACTACTCTGATATTTTAATCATATTGCTGTGTACAGTTATTTGTGTGGATTTGATAATTTTTCATGTTTTACACAGAAGTCATCAGCAATCCAGCTCTGTACCTTATTTTGGCAGGCATCTAGCTCAACATTGTTGTGATAGTTCTGGGGAAGTAGAACTTGCTCATAATAATGTGTTTAGGAGCATGCTAGTATATTATGAGTTATGTTGAGTTTGGAGTACATTAGTGCCATCAGGTATTTATGGATTATTTCATATGTGCTGCTGTTAAAGTACTGTTTTTTCAGTTCAAACTGAAGAGAGGTCCAAATATAATCTTGATATTTTGCACTGTTGTTCTGACTTAAAACAGGAGTTCATTATGAAAAAAAGCAAAGATGTTCCAGTTTTACAGTTTTCAAGCCAGTATCGAGCTAGTTTCTGGTGGCACAGTCAAATTTTTCTGTTTTAATTAGAAAACAGATTGGATAATCAATGATTTTTCTGGATGTACAAAACTAGCTAGTTTATATTATCATTGGACGAAATGGAGAACCCCTTTCTGAATTAATATCTTTGATTGGTATGAATGTATACAGGGTGGTATTTTAATTGCCATCTAGACATAAAGGAAGTTAAAATCTTGAGTAAATTGAATATATTGATTTAGAATCTCAGATTTTTGCATATTTTTTTTAGTGTCAAAGTACTAATCTGAGACAATTCTGAAATAATCTTGTTTTGTCTGTATGTTGTAATTATTTGGTAATCAATTTCACATTTTTATTTTTTTATTTCTCCTTATTTTACGTATTTATCTCTCCAAACCAGAAATCAAAGACCTGCTTTGCTTAAAGTTTTAGATATCTTTCTTCCTACTTCTTTTAAATACCCCTTTCGCCTGTCACAACATCCTGCCAAAAATCAGGATGTTAATTCATTTTAGACAAGTATAGTTTTTTTTTTTGCTATTAAATGTTAAGTTTCTTATTTGTTGATCATTGTACCATACATCATACTCTGTAATACCTGTGTGTACATACATCCTACTCTATTATAACCCAAAGATACACTCCTCAGTGTCCACAAAATTTGCCTACTAATATATGCATTTGCATGTGTTTGCACAGTGTACATGTACTTACATGTCAGATTCTCACATGCTCACAATAGGAACTAATCCTCTGTTTCTTCAAACTGTGTGTTTATGGTTATACCACATGATTAGGAATTTAAGTTCTGTTTCTAAGAACTTAAAATGTCCCACGAGACTTTTTACAAGTTACTTAGGCTCTTTGCCTTAGGTTCCCCATCTATAAGCGATCTTAACAGGTATGGGTTTGGACTCTTCCTTTACAAACATAACCAGTATATTACTGTGCTAATTTCTTAGGACTTTACATTCTGTGAATGGAATGTATTCTTTTTTTTGAGATGCTGAAAGAATTTGAGAAAAAGAATTGTTGGCTTTTGGGGGGTAATTAGAACAGCGGTGAGTAACTGAACAGAGAAATCCCTCATCTCTGGTTTCTAACCAATTTTAAAATACTTCAGATAAGTGTTCATGCTTTGCGTGTATGTGGCTGAACCCATAGAGGCTGTCGTAGGAAAGCCTGCGATTGAAATGGTAGACTATGGAACTATGTCATATGTCATCTTCTAATGTGCTTAATAGCAGTTTTAGATAGAATCATTTTTTAAAACTTTGCTAGAGCCCATGGGTACAGGCTGCATATATAAGCATCTCCAGTTAGGTAGTAAGCTTAAAGAAAAATTGATGAGTGACATATATTAATGAAAGGCAGAAGTAAAGGGTGTTGTAAAAAATATGGGAATACTAGAAACAGGTTAGTGTGGTGCGATAGACTTTTTTTAGCATTTTTGGTTCAGTGATGTCTTGTTTCCTTGGAGAAACAAAGATGACCAAGATCTACCAAAAGGCATCTTACAGAACTCAAAAAATGCAGAAAAAAAAGTTTGATAGAGATGAAAGCAAATTATATATTTATAATGAAAATAAAGGATCTTTGTATACTTTTATATTTTTAAGATACATTTTTTGTGGAAGTTAGTTTCTGAAGGATCTGGCACTTCCTCTTTTTAGTGAATATTCTTATACTGTAAGGAAACAAAAATAGTGCTTACTGAAATAAATTTGGATTTTTGTTTGCTTTTTTGTAGTCTGTCATTGTGCCTGTTCACAATAGTGAATGTTGGTTGGATGAGTGCTTGAAGTCCGTGTGGGAACAAGATTTTAAAGAAACCATGGAGCTGTCAGTTTTTAATGATGCCAGTAAGGTATGTTTTGGACCTTATTTAAAATACTGTACAAGTAAATGCTGTCAGTGATAGGAATTCTTGTTTTGGACTGTGTTTGGTTCACCATACAAGTTGAAATAGTGGCATCTATGTCATCATTTTTCTAGGATGGTTCAGCTGAAATAATTGAAAAATGGAAGATCAAGTTGGAAGATGCTGGTGTTCCAGTAATCATTGGTAGTAATGATTCATCTCAACCTCGAGGCGGTATGTAGCTTAATAGTGATTTTTTTGAGAGTTAGGTTGTTATTGCAGGCATCTTCTGTTTTTTTAGTTTGAAAAGTGTCATTGTAGCCGCTTTGTTTTCCAGAGCTCTCCACTCAAAAGCTCATTCCAATTTAGAATTTGGCCCTTTTGGTTTTGGCTACATAGAATTTGTTTATAGATCCATGAAAGAACTTTGCTTAACATTTGTGCTCTACTCTGCAAAAGAATTTTGATTAATTGTAGCATATGCAATATTGGTAATGCTTACAATTTTACTGTGGCTTTCTGATATCTGATTTATCTTCAGGAGATGGGCTTAAGAAAAAAGAAATCCAAAATTTCATAGAATCATAGAATGGTTTATGTTGGAAGGGACCTTAAAGACCATCCGGTTCCAACCCCCCTGCCCAGGGCAGGGACACCTCCCACCAGCCCAGGTTGCTCCAAGCCCCGTCCAACCTGGCCTTGAACGCCTCCAGGGATGGGGCAGCCACAGCTTCTCGGGGCAACCTGGGCCATTGCGTCACCACTCTCAAAGAGAAAAATTTCGTCCTCATATCTAATCTAAATCTCCCCTCTTCCAGTTTGAAGCCATTACCCCTCATCCTATCACTGCATGCCCTTGTAAAAAGTCCCTCCCCAGCCGCCTTGTAGTCCCCCTCCAGATACTGGAACGGCCTTTAAGGTCTCCCTGGAGTCTTCTCTTTTCCAGGCTGAACAACCCCAACTCTCAGCCTGTCTTCGTAGGAGAGAGGCTCCAGCCCAGTGATCATCTTTGTGGCCTCCTCTGGACCTGCTTACATAAAGATTTAAAAAGTAAATGCATATTTTTCAGTTTTGTAAAACAAACCTGGAACAGAACAAAATATATTTTTGATATCCCTTTGATGATCAGATCAAATCAGAAAAGTTTGGATGTGAGCTAAAACCACTCACTAAACTCCTAAGTATTTGCATAAAGGGGATAAACAATAGATTTACTGAGCTACCAGATGGGTGTATGGTGTGATTCCCTATTGATTTACATGCTAATATGAGTTACGTTTACCCAGTGGAGGATGCAACAAACAAATATCGCTAACAGTTTTTCTTTTGCTCCCGTTGGTTGTTTTATGTTTAGATTATTTTTTTTTTAGCAGATGAGCTTGCTAAAACGTAAAATAGAAGTAAAAGTATATTGCTCTTCAAAGAAGCTGGTGTTGAATGGCGTTGAAGTTGGGAGATCATGTCTGTGTTCTGAAGGAGAACAACAGGACAAAGGAAGCAGAACAGTGTGCTCATGTTTTGTAGGCGAGCTGTATAACTTACGTTTCTATCGTTCTGGATTTTGTGACAATGAGTACACAGGTAGGAATTGATATAGAACTGATTCCAAATTTATGTCCTTCAGTTATCTCACTTAAAAGGCACACTTTGGAAACACTAACACAAAATCTGGTCAGTTTCTGTTTTTTAACAAAATGTCCTGTTTGTAACTGGAAAGAAACCTAGGCTTACTATAGTCTTACTATGAAAAACCCCACTTGTTTCAGAAGGCTTAATTGTCATCCCCTTGTTGAAACACGCAAGTAAATTGGAGCCTGAGCACTGAACTAATCTGCAACTTGTTACAGGCTTCTGGATTTATTTACTGTCATTTCTTTTGACTATAGACTTCTTTAAAGCAGTTTTTAAAAAAGTTGTCAGACCTAGCAATACTGAATTAGCATAACTGTACTGTAAATATTTCTAGTTTTTTAATATCTCTAGCATGAACTGGTGGTGTTTTGACAGTGCAACTTATAATATTAGTATTATTGAGCTGGTGATGACAAAAGACAGAGAGGGTTTATAGAGGGAATTTTTCTCTTTTGGGCAACTGATAAAGCTGGAGTTGAGCAATGTCAAGAACTACTTGTATTCTTGGAAACTTATCTGTCGTTTTTCACCCCCCTTTCAGAATTCTGAAGTCAGTTCACCTTTGCACTTCAGGCAACTGAAACTTGTAAGTTCAAGTTGTGAACTACAAGGATTATATTGTGCCATTAGAGATATGTATGATTTCTTTTTTTGTTTTAACATGCATTTGTCAGTGTTGAGATAGCTGAAACCTGAACAAATCTTTAATAAATTGGGGGTGGGGGTATGCAGCTGTAAGCGTTTTTTTAAATAATAGTATGAAATGCATAGTTTAAAAAAAAAAAAAAAAACGAACCGAAAAAAAACCCCACAACAAAACAAAACCATGCTTATTCATGTGGAAGTCACTCTCAGGTCACCATTAAAATGAGGACATCTTTTCTTCGTGGTTGTTACATTTTAGGAGCAGGTTACTTGAAATCCATAGTATTTGTTTGCTTTCAGTGATTTACTTTTATTATGTTAAGGACTAGTTACAACAGTAAGGAGTCTTTCCTTTAAAAGAAGATGCTTTAGTACAGAAACAATGTACTAGTCAGGCTTCACATCTTCAACTATTTACACAAGATTAGGATTTATTTCTGATTCTTTTCTAACATGTAAAAGAAAGGGGGGGGACCTAGAAAAAAAGAAAGGGTCACTTGCCTAAAAAAAGGAAACCTTTTTCTTTCCAAGAGTGAGGAATGTTAATATCTCACTGAGGCTTAAGTTTTTACGGCTGTAACCATGGTAACAGGCTCTTTTCACCAAGTAAGCAGGCCTTACAAAACTCAGAGACCTGGCACAAACATTTGATTTTGTTCAGTAGAGTAATATTAAATAAAATTTTTTACTCATGCCAAACATGTAGGATTAGTTGTGGTGAAACAATTTTTAATATCTAGTTTCTTCTATGGGGACTTGTATCTTATTACTAGTTTTTAACACACGCGTGTGTTCTTCTCTCCCCTCTAAAAAAATAGCTGGTATATGAAAAACTTCAGGATGGTTTCTGTCTTAATCTTAGAAAGAAATATTTTCCAACTTTTGTCTCATAACAAATATTAAATATTTCATTATTTAAAGTGTTTTATTTGAAAAGAAGATCTGAAATATTACCAGAAAGTTCATAGAGTGATATAATTGTCATCTTGTAGTTGCCTTTTAGTCTCCTTTGCTTTTTTCTACATTATTGATTCCTAGTACTTCATTATTTTCTACTGAAGGTTGTTGAAATGTTGGGGTATACTAATGAAAGCAATGAAATCTAATTACAGGCTGCTTTACAGCTGGTAATGGTGTAAGAGAGTATTGATTTGATTGATGTTAGGCAGATTTTGTTCTATCGTGTTCTTTTACCTCTTGCTTTAGTTGGGACCTCCACAGTATTAGTGTTTGTCTTGTTTGGCATGTCCAGACCTGCTAACTTTCATCCGTTGTTTCCCACTAAAACTGCTCATGCCAGGATTCGGCTCTGTTGTTGTGGTAGCTACTGACTTTGCCAGCTGCTTTTTTTACTGCCAATAGGAAGGAGAATGAAAGTAACTGTATATGTGAGATCAGATATTCATATGTGTATAAAAAGTAATATGTAAATAAACTGTAAGGACATAAGTCCAAGAAATCCATGATGAGAAGAAGTTAAGGTGATTATTGAAATACTCAAAATCCATAAGAAACGAATAACACAATAATAAGGAAAAGCCTTAATAGTAGTGTTCTGTTGGTAGTTGACATAATGTTCCTTTGAGGCAGTAAGAAACGCAGTCATAAGTCTTTTTGTATACTTGGACAACTCAGCAAAATACCCAAGGAGTATGTGCATTAAAACTAAGTGAACCTTTAAACCCAGTTAAATTTGTTTCCTGGGCAAACTTAAACTTGTATCACATAAAAGAGTAGAGAATTACAGAAGTCTGCTTTTTTCAAATGCAAAATCATTTCATTCAGGGATTATATTATTTAAAATTATCCTGCTTCACTTCATGGTGAGATTTTCTGGCTTTACATTTCCAGTTTTCCCAATAAAGAATAAAATCCCCACAGTATTGCACATCTTCACATTGTTTGGTTTGCATGTCAGGACAATCTTTTGCTGGATTCCCTGACTTGGTTCCGTAAATACTTAAGCAAATCTTAAATGTTACATATACAACCAAGTGGAATGTGTACAGCATTTTTCAGAACATCACTGGATATAGTATGGTCTTTCCTTATAATGCTGCCCCGGAGAAGAATTCAAAGACCAGAATGTTCTTAGGCAGACCACGTCCACATACAAAAATTATCCTGGGTAAACACTTCTATCTTGCTGATGTATTTCAGTGGTAAGCTGAGTTCATCCTATTGCTGGTTGCTGCAGTCCCAGCCTTACCCTTGCCTGTGTATTCCTGCTCCCCCACCTTTATTTCTGCCTCTGCCATTTGCTTGACACTCCAGTGCTGTCATCTGCTTCAGAAATTAAGCTGACGAGTTGTCTTCTGGTTCAGCTTACTGAAATGGCTTGGTAAAAGATTCAACAAGTGTCAGCAGGCCAGAAACGAAAAGACCCTAGGTACCAGCATTGTCACTTGACTGAAGTGTGCTATTCCATAGATGGTATAACATGTTATGGTATAAATAAGCCAGGTGTGTGCTCGTACATATATTCTTCTGCTTTGGCTCCCCTCTGCATTATGTGTGCCATTACATACATGGCGCATGAGGTTTTTGTGCTTGCATACTTTATATTTAACAAGCACAATGGAAGAGAACTTTTTTTTGAGTCCTTCTGCAGACCTGCCCCCAGATGGGGAGAACAAGTTGCCCAGCAATCTCGTGGTCATTCTTTGCCTTTTTATGATTTGTCACTATTTGTTATGATTTAAGAGATGAATATGTATATACAGCCAAAGGTTTTCAGCATCTGTTCATGGCAGGGGGGTTGGACTAGATTACTTTTAAAGGTCCTTTCCAACTCAAACCATTCTGTGATTCTATGATCTGAGGTACTAGCTGTGAAACTTGGGTAGCTGGACTCTTCAAGATACATATTATATAGTATGTCTTTGTGGAGGGCTAGCAAAAGTAGTCTAATTCTACTTGGTGGTACAATTCTAACACATACAACTGAATCACTGGTAGAAGACGACTGAAATAGGCGTACTATTTAAATATTTACAAATTGCCTTGTTTTAAATATGGAAAAATTGTGTACTTTAAAGGGTACTGATTTTCATATTTCCTTTCATCTGTTGCTGACTGTAGTAAGATTTAAAAAAATACAAAGCTAAAAACTACCACATAATTTTATCTTTGTTTTTTCAACAGTTGGATTTGCCAAAAATCAAGCAGTAATTCAGAGCTCAGGAATCTATCTCTGCTTTCTGGATTCAGTAAGTTAATGCGTTTTGTCTAACTTAGTTTTGTCAATAAAATTCTTTTGTTTTTAATGTAGCTATTGATTTGCCTCGAAGACAAGCTGTTTAAATATGTTTGAGTGTTAAGCGTGCTGGTTACTGTTTATAGCCATAAAGTTGTCTTCCAACCTGTAGAAAGCCTACAGCCTTACGCCACTCTTTGATCCTATCGGATTTCACAAGCTATTATGAGCAAGGCTGGGCAAGGTTGGTATTTAAGTGTTTTCGGGATTTTTCTTACCCACATTCCTCAGAAAATTATATTGATGAGAAACTAAGAGCTAATCTACTGGCTTTTTGATGCAAAATAGGAGAGGTCTCGCCTTCCATCCTGATTTTTTTTTTTTCCTCTGTCCTTTGATACCTTCTGTGAACCCATTCAGTGCACTAACCCACAGATAACTATCTGACTTTATGCAGCTTAATATGCAGTGAAGGGTTTCGCAAATGTGCATAGCTGATCTGAGGAATGGTGCCATGTGGCTAGGTTCAGGCAAGAAGAGCAGGACCTTTAAGGCTCACTGATCTTATGTAATTTCACCTGAAGATTGATTCTTTCCTCTGAATTGGAATTGAACTATGGTTTAGTGTAGTACTAGGATGAATTGGCTGCTGAAAGTGTAGGTTAAGTGCTGGTATATTTCTTCTGACCCAAGGCAATGCAGCAGAAATTTCTTGCCTTACCATTTAAGAAATTAAGTTTTGTAGGTGGCTTTTCTGGCCTTTATTCTTCCTTCTATTAAGTTATTACTATATTTAGCAACCCAGTGTGCTTTTTTAAATGAGTTTATTTGAATTTATCCTAATTTCCCTTTAACAGTTTGTTGTTTTGGGGGTTTTGTTTGTTTGTTTTACAGAGTGTATTTCATGTAAATATTTGCATAGAAGTTTATGGAGAGTGAAGCTTTGAAATGCAATATCTGGTACATATGGGTATTTCAGAAACAAAATTTTGAACATCCATTGAAAATACAGACCTCAGTCATATACAAATTAATGGTGTTTGGAAAGGTCAGTTTCTCATACATCAAAAAATAAGTATTTCATATCCAACACTGAGCGTCAGTGTCTGTTTCATAAACAAATTATTTTGAGGAAGTATGAGCACAAAACCTGCTGCTCTGGTTTTGATCATCTGATTCACCAGATTTTGAAAGAATGTAGGGACATCATAAATTATGCCATGAAGTAATTGAAGTGATGCCAGTTTTGTTGAGATGAATGAACTTGGGATCCAGTTCTTTTTGCTTTACTTCAAGTAGACGAACCCAAGTGCCATTTAATTTATCTGAATGATTCCATGGATTTAATTCTCTATAAGAGAGATCTTAGATAGATCTTTTCAGAATTGTTAATTTATTGTTTACCTTATAGTGTTCATACAGTACACATCTTCATGCTGCTGTGTTGTTTCTGTTAGCTGACTAGTTGTGCAAGATAAGAAAACATCAGGGAAACAAATTACAACTATTAAGGAATACAATGTGATGATTTTGGATTTCTGCAATAGTATCATCAACATAAGTTTATATTTAATATAATTAAGACCTACTTGAAGCGAATTGTGAATTTTGTAACTTACAGTGTGGATAAGCTTGGAAGAAGCTACCAAGATTTTA